ATATTTCCACATTAAGGACCCATGAAAGGAGAACTCCTTAACTCCTTCATGGTCCTAAACTCATAAAAATTACAAAAAAACACTATAAGAATATAGTACCCGAGAAAAATGTGTTGTCTTTGGTTAGTAACTAACTAAATGATTTAGGCCTGTGGACATCAACAATGTGTAATGTCGTGCGTAATGCAGTAAAGCACACACTTGAGTTTCGATAAGTAGTCTTTTGAAATGAGAGGTATGTTAGTAGATTGAACTTCTTATCATACATAACTCTTCACAGTGAATAATTAGGAAGCTTAGAATAAGCATGATTCAGTAGAAATCCTTAAGGCCTCCGTCAAAAAGCAAGCAGATCATATTATTTCAATTTGGATTTTATCATGATTTAAGATCAAACTTTCACTTCAACAATCAACAAATATTATATTTCCTCTCACTTCGCTATTTTTTGTTTCATTTATTATTTTTTCTTTGTACTTTTATTTTTTTATGTTTACTTATTATGATTCGGTCAATTCCAAGCGTGCCCTTACCCCCCGCCATTTGTCAGGCATTGGTCATCTTGTCATTGCCGGCTGTTGGGAATTCAATTTGTCAGATTAATATTGTTCTTTTTTTAATATTTCACTTAAAATATGTCAATTTAGATAAACAAGACAACACATTGTTCGTTTAATCTTTGTCAAAAGATGCATTGCCTTAGGGCGATGTTTAAGTCTGGTTGGATCACCTAAATGAAAAAAAAAACAAGAAATCCGAAAATGTGCGACCCGTTTTAGTAACTCTATTGAAAATGCGACCCAATTATAGTCAATCCAGTCATGAAAATGCGGCCCCATCCAGCGGCACATACCCACTAGCCTCTTATGAGGAAGTACCCCCCTCCCCCCGGGGCGCGAGAACAGGAAAAGAGGACGTGATGCACATAGCAAAACGTCATAAAGATGCAATTATGAGGATTGTAAAAGTTTCGTAGGAAAGTAAGGGAGATCGCAACAGTTATGTTAAAATTAGCAGAGAGGAAAGTTTAAGGTTTTAAGTTAAGGAGCAAATACCCTGCCCTTATAATGACTATAACTGATTCAACTGACGCACAACCAACGAAGAGATCGTTCAGTGATCGTTCTCCAAGGACAACGCATTGCCTAATATATTGTTTAATCTTTGTCAAGAGTTTCCAAAGGCGGTAATATAGATTTAGCCAGGGCTAAAAGCGAAGCTCTCGATAATATTCATAGCACGCTTGGAATTGACTGAGCCATCATATAAGACTCATAGCCCTGTTAGAACTTTAATGTCCAAATAACCACTGGTATAATGGTTGTTGGAGAAAACAGAGATGATTGAGTGATCGACTGATATCGAAAGTGAGCTACTACGTGACGTTTATGAATAAATTCGAACAAATTACAAACGTCAAGTTGGAGGAACAGACTACAACATCTGTGTTTAAAACAAAACTCATTAGGCTAATATGATTTTTCAGTTTTTTTGGAATTTTAGCCATGCAGAGAGTCTTCATCGTTATTGCGTTAGTTATCTTTGCTCTATGTTTTGTTCTTCAGGCTCAGGAGCTGCAGCAGGGCAATAGAGGTATATAACAAGTAGCGTCATTTTTATCCTCAGTGTTCTTAGCTGTATGACGAACTTTGTTTAATAACTCATCTGGTTTCGAAGCGTTAGGAACGAAATTGGACACAGACTACAGCCATTATCTAGCATTGATATAAAAAATTCGATTTGACCGGTGATACTCCTTGACCTATTTAACCTATGAGACTGGTGTAAAAACAAGACGCATAAAAGTAGACGATCAAAAGAAAAAAAAACCTGCATCAACAGAGTTTTCTGAAACAATGCGCAAAACTGACACTTCCCAGTCGTTTCTGGAAGGGCTGGGCATAAATGTGGCCCAGTTTACGGCGTCCCATTTTTATACTGTCATTGCTGCGAAATTCAGCGTATCCCATTTATTATTAGAAAATTGCGACCATTGAAAAAAATTTGCTGTTGTTATTGACTTAAAAGTTGAGGTATAAGGTTTTAGTGATAAAATAAGATTGCCAAAAGAATTTCAGAAAACTGAGAGTGGCGAAAGTCCTCAAAACAATTCCTGAAAGTATTTCCGAATTCAGCTTTTAATTGTTTTGGAATTGTGAAAACGTATCAGTCACTGAAGGAAAATGAGTATTTCCAGTTTCTAATTTTAAAACCCAGGCCAATCCCCAATCTCGTTTTTCTGGCATCATAAATTACTCAAAACCTTTCTTTGAAGACGAATGTTTGGTTCAAACTCCTGCTACATGGATATTGTCAATCAGGAGATCAGCGTTACTTTTATAATGGCGGAAATTTTAATAAAAAAAGGTATTGAGATAACAAGCTAACGTCCGTCAGAGCTCGAATGCTTCTGTTGAGTCACTTCAGCAAATTTGTTTATTGCTTCGAAATGAGCGCGTGTGTCAGTAACAGCAACAAATTCTCAACTCAACAACGGGTGGGGGAAACGTCAGTTTGTCCAAGGAGAAACAATGAAGGGAAGAACGACGACACAAATTGCTGTTTTATAGGATAAATATTTTTATCAACCATTTTCTCATCAAATTAAACTGTCGAAAACTTACCAAGTATTGCGAATCTGCCGCCCACGCAATAGCAAAACAGAGAGACATCGCGTCAGTTTTGATTATTGCGAGGAAACTTTTTATTTGAGGGTAAATTCTTAAAGTAAGTTTTAACGAAATTAAACAAACTTATTTTTTGCAGAATTAAGAAAAAATGTGCAGTTCTTTTCGTTCAGAAAAAAAAATGCATTGCACATAAAATATAGCTGTGGCATCTACAAGTGACATTTTTACTTATTGTAACGTTTAGGGGTATGTCTGAACAACTGGTTGTACTTTCACGGCTCATGCTATCGCGTCTTTAACACGAAACTGAACTGGGTTGAAGCAAAAGCAGCTTGTGAGAGACTGGGATCCACTCTTGCCACGGTGAAATCACAAGCTGAGGGACAAGCACTCTCCCCCATAGTATCGGAAGCCGTTTGGATAGGATTGTACAGAGACAATGATACCACACCTTGGGTATGGGTCGACGGAACACAGGCTGAATACGTTAACTGGTATATATATGAACCCAGCCACCAGGGAAAAAATCAGGAGCTCTGTGTAATGATGTTTTCTGCGAAAAAAGCAATGAAATGGAATAACGGGCAATGTACGGGCCATAAGCCCCTTTACGTCTGTGAAGTCTCTGGTAGGTAAAAGTAACATGCAATGGTTGACACTTCGAGGCTACTCTGTAAAGAAAGATCTGCTTAAGCTCTAAATTGAGGCTGTTTAGGTGCGTCTAATACAGTCCTGTTTTTTGGGTCTAATTTGGCTTCCTTAGTGAAGGCTAATATAGTCCGGCTATCTAGGGCTGATTTAGACCCAGAGGCTGAAATGAGTCTCAGCGTGGGCTGGAATAGGCTATTGATGTGGCTGTTTTTGCCTAAATTGTGCTCTATGGCTCCAGAAGAGACTGAATCAGACATTGACCTGTAGGGCTGAATTGGCACTTTGGGGCTGAAACAAATCTTTTTAATTTTCACTGTGGACTACTTAAAATTCCATCATAAAAAGGTGTTGTATTCTATGTTATTACATGGTGTTGATGTGAAATAGAAGCCGTTAGCAGATGATCATTAATTTTGAATTTCTGCTGCCTCATTTCTCATAAGAGTAAGAAACTTGCTACAGGACAACAAATGCTAAAATCGCTCGGACAAAAATGATGAAGAAAAGTCATAACTTATTTTACTGTTATCTGTTAAGCGCGCGCAGAACCAAGTCAATTTCTGGGTCAAATCGATCTTTTTTTTCTAATTTAAATATATTTATTGATAATCACATTAAATAGTTACACTGACGATACTACAAAAAAGACACTCTAACAATAGACATTAACAGAGAAAAGCAAAATTAATTGTTAAATTATTACAGGGCTAAAATAAATTAGAAAAAAGTACAACAGGGCAATGAAATAGTACGGAGTTAAGAGAGTTAACTTAAATAAGACGTCAGTGTCCACTTTCTTTTAAAGAATTCTTTGTTGCTGATTTTTTCTTCTGTTTCATATTTAGCGATGATCTTCGTCCTAAATCCATAAATGTTTGGAAGGATTTGTTTGCTCCTACAGTCCCACAAATAGAGTTTTCCAATGATTATAAAATAGTTCAGCAATTGAAGTAAAGGGCAAGAATTTCCCCGTCAAAATTCCAAACAGCACATTTTCCAAGCAGAGACGAATTCGTTGATTCGAAATAAGGCACCAATATAATTTAAATTCAATTGCTGTTATCTGTTAAGCGCGCGCAGAACCAAGTCAATTTCTGGGTCAAATCGATCTTGCTATGCCAAAGATTGTCCCCGCAGACGTCCTTTGGGGTTCGTTTGTCACGCATTCATTTCTGTGTGACAAACGAACCCCAAAGGACGTCTGCGGGGAGGCTAAAGATTGTGGTGAACCCTCAGAAAGAGCATATGTTTTCACTTCAGAATCGTCAGTTGAGTCACTAAATTGAGCCAGGACTCCTGATTGAGCATAGTTGAGACGGCGAGCTCTTGGTCGGTTATGTAATCTATACTGAATCATAAGCAAATGATCAATTGGCACCTACCTTAATACACCTTATTACGGTCTCATTGTTTTAGCCAGATTTAAAGAAATCACAACTTCCTTTCGGAAAACATCATTTCTTAAGACTAAGACTTCATGTTCCAGCACTGATCGTATAAACAGAGTCCCCCAGTACGTGGAGCAATGTGTTTTCGTATCACTCTCAAACAGAGAATCTAAGTCTTTGAGCTAATAAATTGTACCTCCATTCGTTTTGGCAATTCATGGGCAGTTTCATTTTTACTAAAGCAAAGTATAACCGAGAAAGACGTAGCCTCATAATAAAGACAAACTAATCAGTTTTAATCATTCACTTTTTTTTATTGATATCTGCAGCTTTTTTCCTACCTCCGCCAAATATTACGAGACTGGTATTTGAAAATTGTGGATTTACCTTGACATGGGAGCGATACACACAAAGAGATATTCTCACTGCTGGATATCAAGTAAAACTTGTTTCTGTCAAGCGTGGTTCAGATAAAGTCACTAACGTTTCCAGTGACACTCAAAGTTACACGTTTTCATGTGATCTAATTCCCAATTCTGTTTATGCAGTAAGTGTCAGGGCAATAACAAATGTTGGATACAGTAACTGGACTGAAAATCAACTGAAAGCGTCTGCAGGTAATTTCTGTAATATATTTGTTCGTTCGTTCATACATGCATTCAGTTGTTCATTAATAATACGTAAAAATACATTTATCGCAGAACCTCGCGAGGTTTGGGGTAGGGAGGCCTGTGTTCGTCATTAATAATAATTTATTCATTCGTTAAAAATCTAACCTGCATTGAGTAGCAGTGGCCTGAAAATTGGCGTTGTTGCTGATTTACAAATGCGCATTCCTTTTCTGAAAGTTATATCGCTCTTGCTTCCCAGTGTCAAGTCTTTATTTTAATTGGTCAAGTGACCAACAAAAAGAGAAAGCTTAGTAATCAGGTCTGTTAAAATGAGTAGAAAATCAATAATTTAAATTAAATAATTTTCAAACTTATATGCTTACAGATATCCCTGACAAGCCAGTTATTAAACAGATTACATCAAAGGGATGCGTGGCTGCTCTGCAGTGGACTGGGCCGAAGCCCAGGGAATGCCCAGTTCTCTTCTACAAGATTCGCTACAAGGAAGAGAAAGCAACTAAAAGCGAGTGGAATGAGATAAACGTCACAGACCCAGACGCCAATAAGCTCGAACTGACTTTGAAGTGTGTTACAACATATGAGTTTGACGTTTTAGCGTGGAATGCCCTGGGATGGAGTCTCCCCTCTACTGTGCGATCAGTAACAACGGAAGAGGGCCGGAGTGTTTTTAAATCCCATAAAAGTTTGTAAAATTTTAAACTTCTATATATTTTAATGATTTTTAAACGGAATAGTTCCGCTGATACTTACCCCAACATTTTACCGTTATAAATACAATTACTACGAGTAATAAAGTAGGCCGGTTAATATGACAGCCTTTTTATTATAGCTAGTGATTTTGTTCTAATATGACTTTCTCAAAATCGAAACGTCTTAACCTTATTCAACTCTAACAGTGTCAAAATGGCAAATTACCTAGATTAACTATCAAAATAGTTAAAATATCAAACTGAAAACAGGTATAGAGGCTCAATGGCCGACATGGTCATGAGTACTATTGACCGTCTTGAACTGTCTTTTTTAGACTATTTCAGTCACATTGTACCGGATAGCTTTTGCGCAGGCGCGGAACCATACAGGGCTTCTTTTTACACACAGGAACAGTGAATTCCACTCGATTTCCGTGACGGGACCCGGGGCGGGGGTACTAGATATATCCTTGGGTGGGGAGGTGCGGCCCGGCCCCTCATACCCTGACCCTGTTTAAGACAAAAATCGCTGTTTTTCCTACCCTGTTTCCGATTTTTGAAACCATACCCTGTGTGAGACAATAATAAATATCGAAACTCTTTCTTATTTAATCCATTGGCAATCACAAAACTATTTACAGCTTGATCAACAGAGTCACGCAGGCTGTTTATTGTCCAAGAAAAGATACCCTGTTTAAGACAAAAATAGATAAAATCGATGCCCTGATTTAGACAAAAATGATAAAATCGATACCCTGTTTAACACAAAAGTCCCGAAAAAAACATACCCTCACTGGCCGCACGTCCCCATTAAGCTCTTATAAGGGAGTAGCCCCCCCCGGGGGGGACGGAACGAAGCTGCACCGCATCAATCTGTAAAGTGGAGGGTCACATATCAGATAGGTGTTCGTACTATAACGGATAGCCTTTCGTGTTGGTACGAAAAGCTGTCCGGAAGAATGTAAACACAGCGCCTGAGTGAGTGAGTGAGCGAGCGAGAGAGCGAGAGAGTGAGTGAATGAGCGAGTGAGAGTTGACGTTGATTTTTTTTTTCATTAATGTCAATTTGTTTCTTTCTTTGTTGTTGTCTTTTCGTTTTTCTCCATTACATTAAAGGCCTTTCATCGGGAAGTATCTTTTTGATCCTATTTTCTATCGCTGTGGTTGTGGTTATTGTACTAGTTATTGGTGTGAAGTGTTATTGTAACAAATCACAACAACTCCCTGCTGCTAAGAGGTAAGTGTACAGAAACCAACAAACGAAGACTTGTGTGACGCTTTTTTTCTCTGTTTATAATTCACAGTCATTCCTTCTTTGTTTTTATGTCTGTGATATACCCGCCTCCCTCATAGCAGGAAGCCTTACAACTTGCTAAAATCGTTAGACTTGAGGACAGACGCAATGAACTCTGTATCAGGACTTTTGGTAAAATTACAAAGGCGGGCCCTTGTCAAAACATGCAAGCACGATTAGGACTATAGCCCATAACTATTTCCTTAGAAAGTCTAACTCGTCTTTTAAATGAAAAATCAAGCGTTTTAGGCGAAGCTTCTTCTCTAATGCTGTCCTTATAATAGCAAACTCACTGCCTAGTCCCTAGGCGTTCTCTTTTGCCCCGTTGTCAGCACGAAGTCTGGGTAAGAGCGGGCGAGTGTCTCTCGGTGACGTCACAGCTCACGGTAAAGTCCAGGATTGACCGAGCCGAGAACGCCTTGGAACTAGGCTGGCAAACTCAATATCTTTTAAAAGTTACTGAAATGTTGATGCAATTCTTAGTCCACGATTTGTTGTTAGGTTAGTACAATCTTTAGTAACTATGATTGAACCTTATTTTTCTATACTATTTATAATTATTGTATTGTAAACTCCAGTTTCAAGAAGGTTTTTGTAAATTTTCTGCTTATTGTAAACACATTGTAATTCATTTTTAATGCGGGAATGTGGGGATTAAACATCTTTATTCATTTATTTATTTTATTTTGTTCACCACTTTTTTCAGAACCGTCAAAGATATTCAAGTATTGGATCATTGTGAAATTTCTCCAATGAGAACAGAATTTGTGGAAAATTTGGGACAGGGAGCGTTTTCAAAAGTCCAAAAAGCTAAATTGAAAGACGGTTTGGAGTACTTTGATTTGGAGAAATCAAGCAGAAGCGAAATGACTGTTGCCATCAAAAAATTGCGTGGTAAGAGGGAACTTCTTGTGCACATAAAATGATATTATAGCGCTCATTTATCAATCGTCTCACGAGACTCGCCTTGTTATCAACGACGACATTTCGGTCGCTTACTGCTGGTCTTCATATCACAACATTGTACTGTGTTATTTGGGAGATACCTTAGCTGACTTATGTTTGGTTTCAAAGGTGACAGCAACGTCCCTTAAGAAATGAATTTACGCACTTTCAAACTTTATCGCGTCTATTTGAACCCGCCTACTGATTTGTCAAATGTTGGCGAATTTTACTGGAGTTGAATTCTTAAGATTTTTTCCTGGTTCCAAAAGAGAAAGGAAAATTCGTCGGCGTATGTTGACGTCCTCCTTAAAACTTCGCATTGGGAGGTTTCACGTGGAATGAATACTTTCCAGAGGTTAGGATAAGGCACTTCTTCCGAGGAAGGCGGTAAATTGTCTTAAGTGTCACGTAATCAAAATAACCCACCGATAATATTAATCAACGATCTGCTTTCTGTTAAAGACGGTGCAAGCGAAGAGGAAAAAAGGCAATTCCTGGATGAAATAGAACTCATGAAAGAGGTGGGGAAACATCAGAACGTGCTGAGTTTCCTTGGCTGTTGGACGACAACGAAACCATTTCTTTTGATCATGGAGTATGTTTCTCATGGAGACTTGCTTCGTTGGCTTCGCCGAAAAAGAAGTCAGGTATTTCAGATGAAAAATAAAATAAAATAAGCTATTGACCATTTTAACACCGATTTTTTTACCAAACGCCCACATTTTCCTGCTTGAATTTTGGTTCGATTTTCAGACGGATTTTGTGAATACATGAGAATGCCATACGCAAAAGTCGAGCTTATCAACTTCTATACTTTCAGTCGACGCCATGTTGAATTTCAAGCTCGAGGAAAGGGTTCCAAAGGAATTGTGGATGAAAATATCGGCTAATTTAACTGGTTAATGTTTTACATTTGGCGTATTAATCCGCGCGCAACAAAAAATGTCAGTACACACGAGGGCGCGTTTTCAAGTTCGCTCAATTTGCCCTGGGAGCTTGCTCCCAAATATTCAACTGGTTAAATATCGTGGAGAATTTTGCGGGTTGGAAATTCTGCTCCCGAGGATGAAGTATACCCATGAAATCGTTGGTACACCCGGTGGAGCTTTGCTCCCGGAGCGTTCCCCTAGAGCATGCTCCGGGAGCAAAATCCCTCGTGTGTATCGGTCTTAATGGAAAGAGATGCTACAGCAGCTTTAAATCGAGCCGGTACTCAGTACTTATGTCGTGCTGCCACTTTCATGAATGTACAGTTAAATCCCGCTTTACACACACCCGGTAATACGGACACCTCATTATAACGGACAGCTTGCTTGGTACCTGGGAAAAGAAACTCCTTACATCTTCTCTAAATTCAACCCGCTTAACACGGACACTCCGTTAATATGGACACTTTCCATGCTCCCTCAGTGTCCGTCAACGGGGTTTGACTGTAAGATGCAGTAATAACGTATAATGTTTAAGCAATATTTATTAGAAAGAATTTAAACTGAAATTCATTTGGATAAAACGGACGGCATAGGCAACTTATTTATTTTGTGGTTGCTGTCGTTATTACCTTCACAGATAAGCAGTTCGACCCTGAGAAACGCAGAGGCCAGTTTGAAGAACGAAGAACTGTATGCCGGAACAAGGAAACAGAGTGTCACTGCTTATCAGGTATGGAGCTACTTGGGCAAACTATCACAATAAGAAAAACACCCTGTCCAAATAACCACAACGAAAAAATCTATGGATGCTGCTTCTCAAAGACACAAAATTATGCTTCACTGTAGGTTTACTTTGAGATTGGTCTCTTCATTCGTCATGACAAGTTGTTTATGTGACTACGGTAAATAGCTAAAGCTCTACGATCATCGTCAAAAGTGATAGGAAGGCTTCTACTTTCTACCCCCTGTCCCTCGCCCAATGTTGAACAAAACGTAAGTGTTTATGCGCTTAATTGTTGTGTTATAAACCCAACGTTGAATAGGGGGAAAGGACGGGGGGGGACGGGGAAAATTTGGCGGGAAGGAAAGCCATCTTTCGTGAGGATTAGAATGAACTGCTTTAAAGCTGAACAACCTTCCCAACTGCTTTTATCAGGGATTGTAGATTCGACAGAGCTACCACGCACGTTCGCAGGAAAGGAAGAAAATACAAACAATTTTCCCGCTCTATTAGGTATTCGCCGAGTCATCTGGACTTTCTCGGGTGAGGGTCTGTTTCCTGTGGCTGTATCTATTTTCCTCAAATCAAATTACTTCTCTGCGTCATTGTTGTATTTCGCTACTTCTCCGGGCTAAGATTTATGGTGACTTACAGTTTTAAATTTTAGCAGGGACCTTGATCTTGCTCTTGATCATGACTTTAGTATGTTGTGGCATAGGAAAAGAAGACTGGAAGACAGTCAAGTTTTGTAAGCGGACAGGGTTTTCTAAGTCAGCTCTTTATGAGTTATACGAACAAAAAGTTGATACTGATGACGATGAAGAATGTACAATACCCATTATTGTATTTTCCACATTAACTTATGTAAAGGATAAATTTGCTTTTGGCTGAAATATGTCGCAAAAATAGCACAGTGAGGAGTACATCGGGGGAAAAGATGGTAAATAGCACATTTGCATACGAATCTACACCGGGTGGTATGTAAGGGACAAATGTCGCATTTGCCATCTTTTCCTCAGATTTACCCTTCCGTTTTCACATTTTTGCGACATATTTTCCAGAAGCAAATTTGTGCAAATGTGTTTCTTTTCGTCCAGTTGGATGAGTTGGCAGAAAACACTGGGGACGAGTGTGACTACGACTGCGAATCGTTCATTCCATTTGATCTCATGTCATTTGCCCGGCAGGTTGCCCGTGGAATGGTAAGGAATGTTCTGTCTTTGGTTCGGTAAAGGCAAGTCGAAACTGAATGAGAAAGAGTTGCAAAGACCTCGGAAACTACTTTGAAAACCCGCTGATAGCAAGTTCATGAACAGAAAAAGTTGGTCTTAAAAACAAAGTTTCTCCTTGTGTCTCTAAACTCTCTTCTTGGTATCTGGCACGTTTAAAAACTGTATATTAACATTATCCTGTTTATAAATTGTTTGAACATGCAACTTACTAGAACAGTCTGAGTGTTTATTCAAAAACAGTGAACCAGGTTCGTGTCAACACCATTTTCGATTTTATAGAACATTTTAACCCTATTCAGACCGTTTTAATTCTTTTGTTGTTTCCTGCTCGAAAATCGCTCATGGTACGGCCACCAAAATTGCACATAATAACGTATACATCGCCTAAACGATTGACATAATGACGTAATCTCACGTCATTGTAATGTCATATTGTTGAATTTATTGGCGGAATCCAAATTTCATCAATTTTCTCCTCTTAAGGTAGACATAAAGAAAAAAATACTTAAATATGCGTCTGATAAAATCAAGATATCAACTAACACATGATCTTATTATGACGTTATTTATTATTAAAGAAAGAACTTGAACCATCTGCCATCTTGGAACCCGCCATTTTGAATAAATCAAATGTATATCAATTTACCTAAAACTAATATAAATGAAAGTAATTGTGATAGACTGTAGAATGCAAAACATCTGCAAGTTATGAAATTCTTTAAGAGAAATAAACACCAGTACTGCTGAAAATTGAACTCATCGTCTGCCATTTGTTCATTGTGAATTTTTCTCAAATTTGTAACTAAAAAGCCTAGACTACATAAACAGTTTTAACCAAGTAAACTAGAAAAGAAAAACCTTTTTTCATAGAAATAATGCAAAGTTTTAAATACAAAGGCTGTCAAAATTCGGATGCCATGGCGACGTCAATGTTGACATATACATCACGACGACTTGGAAATGTTCCTAGAAAAGATTTTGAACGGTTTTACCCTGTTTATGTTTTTACCAAAGTAAAAATGACATGCTAACAAATGTAGGTTGTTGACGCAAGAAGGAACTTCATAGGAAACTGAATTTAGGAATCACTGGGAAGACCATAGCCTACCCCTGGCTTCCCCACAAAATAACACCTGAGAAACGAGTGCAGAAATTCCCAGATCTTGGTAATGCCTCTGATTGGTCGTACCGAGTGGGAAATTTGCTTCAACCAATCAGATCTGGGAAGTGACGCGTCATCAGTATGGAATTTCTGCGCTCGTTTCTCAGACGTTATTTCGCGGGAATGGTGGCTTAGCCAATTTCTCGGGCCAGGAAGACCGTATTAAGGCACGTCTTAATCACTGTATTCGAGGCAGTAATGCCGCCTTTAAATGGGCTTAAAGTCTGAAAATGACGGCTTGATATTGTATAGAAGAATTTAAGTACTTTTGCTTTTAAGTGGTAGTGACAAAACAAACCTCAGAGGTTCTCGTTTGCAAGAAATCCTTAGTCCCGATATCATTATCTTAAGAAACTTCAGCTGGCGGATAAAGCCCAGTAAATTATACATGGGCATTTTAACTACGGTAGATTAAACTGGCATCGGATTATCCTTTAAATTAAATATTTGCAATTTTCAGAGCTACCTGGCAGAAAAAGGCCTTGTTCACAGAGATCTAGCCGCGCGAAACATCCTTGTGGCACACGGTAAAAAGCTTAAGATTGCTGACTTTGGCTTGATGCGGGAATTACATCGTGGGATGTACGAAGTGAAAAGGCAAAAGAGACTGCCGATCAAATGGATGGCCCCAGAATCACTGTATGAACAAATTTTCAGTTGCAAGAGTGATGTGTAAGTAAAAAGTATAACATAGTCTACACACTACAGAGCAGAGATTAGATCGGTAAGATCAAGACCAACCCTAGTGAAAAACCAAACCTGCCGTTTTCAGTTCTTCCACTTTTTTCATTGTTTTCACGCTTTTCTTTATATTTTGAAAGTAAACGGATAATTGAGTATGGTACGAAAAAAGCCAAAATACTGCACTGGTATCAAGTGTGAAGCTGGCTTTCAACCTTAAGTAGGCAAGACCCCATTTAGACGGGTCCGGACAAATTTTTGATCACACAGTTCTATCTAGGATTTTTACGTTTGGGGGAGAAGTCCCGAGTGGCCTAAGGCTACGAGCTCAGTCCTAGGGGGATCTGGGGGCATGCCCTCAGAAATTGTTTCAGATGAATATGCGCTGAGATGCAATCTGGTGCATTTTGAGACACAATTGTGTCCTTAGACAAGGATTACTTACTTCATTTGCACTGATCTCGTCCCGTCTGGATGATTCTCCGATATAGTTACTTCTATACTGTAATAATAACAATATTTTTGGGGGGAAGCTGGACATTTTGGGGAGAAAGCTTCTACCCCTCAAATACCCTAGATAGAACCCTGGAACGGACAAACTCTTGTACGAGTCCGCCTCTCCTTTACACGGAACCTGCCAGGACCGGCGGATACGCGCACGTTCTTGAACAGAAAAGAGTACTAAGATTTGTGGTTTGTATAAACGGGTTACACAGGTAAAAATTCGCCCGTTCAAAACTTTGTCCGAAGCCCTGTAGTGAGATATGTCCAGAAATGCACTCATTGGCGAAAACGGCACAAATAGCGATTAATCGCCAAAATCGCCAAACTGTAAACAAAAATTCAAATGAGATGGCAAAGGGGCCCTTTGGAGAGTGGCAATTTTGGCGAGAATGGCGTTTTGGCAAAAATGGCAGAAATGGTGGCAATCGCCAAAATCGCCAAACTGTAAACAAAAATTCAAATGAGTTAGCAAAGTGGCCCTTTGGAAAGTGGCGATTTTGGCAAAAATGGCAGAAATGGCGATTAAACGCCAAAATCGCCAAATTGTAAACAAAAATTCAAATGAGATGGCAAAGGGGCCCTTCGGAAAGTGGCGATTTTGGCGAAAATGGCGTATTTACAAAAGGGAGAGAGTGTTCGTTAAGCCAACCAAACCAAATTTCATGACCCACAGCTAGTCCACTAATTACTCGAGGAGAGACCCACCAAGTCCTTGAAATGATACTGACTAATTCCTTACCACGGACACTCTAACTTTTGAGGTTCGATGTAGACCTAAACAATCGACTGCTAAACGCGAGGAACCGTGCGTTTCGCAGCCGGTTTTGATTTAAGCTGCCTCACAACTTAATGGAACCGATGTTAAGAGAATTGACACCAATGAGGATTCAGGGGCACCCAACAGCAATTTTCGGGAAAATATCTGTTCGGAAGACGATTTGAGAACTAGAATTTTCGGAACATTTGTTGTAAAATTTCTTGCTTGCCTGCCTCTCCTAGGATTTTCGAACATCTACAAAATGGTATAATTACCAATTTTAAACGGATATTTACCCTAAAAAAGGCCGCCTAGAATTTTCGGGAACCTTTTCCTGGCTGAAATTTTCGAAAAGGTGAGTTTTGATCCCTATAATTTTCGGATCACTAGACTTTCAGCTAGGAAATCCGAACAGATGAAAAGTTTTTAGGGGATAAAAATATGCCTATATCTACCGTTTAAATACTAAAATACGTTCAACAATGCTATGTTAAGTGGTTTTGAACTATAACCTCGTTGGGTGCCCCTGAGGATTGTTTAGGTCTACATCGAACCTCAAAAGTTAGAGTGTCCATGGTAAGGAATTATTATCATTTCAAGGACTTGGTGATTGTCTCCTCGAGTAATTGGTGGATTAGCTGTGGGTCATGGAATTTGGTTTGGTTGGCTTGAACGAATACTCTCTCCCTTTTTTAAGGCTTTGAAAGGAATAAACCATAAAAAAGCAAATGATGCTAGTGTGATATTTCAGTGCATCACATTACTTTTGGTAAGTCAAGCGACATCAGTTGTATTTGATAAATGTTGCCTCACAGCTATTGGGGCCTCTTATTAGGCATGTAATTTGAACTTATTTTTAGTAATGTTGCCTCACAGTTATAGGGACGTCTTTAGTTATCTAATTTGACGGGGCAACTTTTGACATCCAATTTGAATATTTGCCACATTCTAGATATCGCCAACCCCTTGGTGATTTTCGCCAAAATCGGCAGTCTCCTAGGGGTCGGGACGTTTATCGCCATTATCGCCAGCCCTCTGGCGATTTTCGCCAAAACCACTAATTTTGCCAAAATTGCCAGTCTCCAAGGGGCCTCTTTTGACATCCAATTCAAATCGCCAGAGGCTGGCAATTTTTCGCCACTTTTGCCATTTTCGCCATTGCATGCATTTCTGGACATAAGTGAAACAAACGGACAAATATACTAGACAAATAAAACAAGAATTTCCCTAACCAGACAGTGATCAGTTATGGATTCACACCCCCCCGATTTATCCAACAGTAGTTTTCAGTGGTGCTCTGTAAATTCATTTTCTTTTCTGCAGAGGGTCTCGTGTCTTTTTGTTTTTCTTTGTCTCTAAGATAGTCTAAAATTGAATAACTTTATGAAGAGTTACAAAATCCATGCACACGGATAAATCACTATCCACTGGATAGCGCAATTGGTTTCCCTAACACTTATCCGTTGGAAAGTGATTTATCCGGTGGATAGCGTTTAATCCAACTTTTGAACAACTGGGGCCAGATGTCAACGTGCAGGATCTTGACATCGATGTTAGTGCACTCATATGTTTTGTGATTCTTGCGTTAAGTTGCTGTTGTTGTTTTTTCTTTTCGTTGTGATAAAATATAGTTTGAAAACAAAACTGATGAATTCGCTTTTAAATGCTAAATATCAAAAACTTGAGATAACCATTATATTACTTTTTTTTTCACAGTTGGTCGTTTGGAGTTGTCATGTGGGAAATAGCAACCCTTGGTAATGTTACAAAATGACAGGTTCTTTTTAGCAAATCGATACACCCACTAAGGAAAAAAAGTCGAGAGAGGTTGGAGCCCCTTGAATGTTTTGCTACGTTTACCATGTTTTGCTACTGATTAAGAGTTTAAAAAGTAGTCCATCTTGGGTTCCTCAAGATATTATAAAAAGCATTGGCTATAGAGATCCTGGCAACTTGTACGTTATTCAAAATGACCACCATCTTGCATTGTACTGATAACTTCGATTTCTGCAAATAGTTAAGAAACCAGATTACAGTGTAGTAGGGGGCTCCTGAATCCTGAGTGCAGTTTAGAATCTAAACTACTCGAATTCTCTTATTAGTTTCGCTTGCGTTAGCAAGCCCTTTTTTCTTCGTATTTAGTACACAAAAAGGCGTTTGTGTTCCCAGGTGTTCCTACTGCAGACCGTGGAAACTGGGACTAAGAATCATTGGTTGACCGAAGCCACGCATGTTTTGCGACGAAAAGCTAAGAAAGATTAAATTTAGAGCTTTTCTAAAAGAGGACGGTCCATGAATTTGGAACTTTGGAACAAGTGAACACTACAGTGGCCGGAAAAAAAGAACAATCTTTTTAAAATTAGCAAAACCGGGATGGTTGAGTGTTGTAAACTTTCATTGTATGCAAATGGGTCTTGTGATGAGCATGCGGTTTATTCAATTTTCGGCGATGATTGAAATGATGTGCCATGTAAATCACTTTTGTGATCTCTGGCGATGATGTAATTTTTCTGGAATGGAGGCTGTTGAATTTTCGTTTATTTATACACGCGTATAGCCTGCGACCGCATACGTATTTCCGGTCGTCACTAACACGCGTTCTTTAGCGAGTGAATCCTGTTTCGTGAAGAATTAATCACCTCCTCATTTCTCGATCTCATCTTCAAGCAAGCGAGACTTACGCCGGTGTAAGAGCGTTCTTTTTAAAAAAATTGTCATAGTCTATAGAGTTTATACTTTTCTCTTTTTTTCTCTTTTAACCTAAATTAAACTGTAATTTAATCAAAGGGCAAGTAATTAGTTTAACTATATCCTGCCCTCTCCATTTATTCTTGTAACCTGATATTTAATTTTACAAATAGCATCTTCATCTTCAAATCTTGTAATACAATATAAATGGCTTGTAGAATAAATAAATGGAGGAAAAAAACTGAAACTAAACTAAGGAAACAGTGTTTCTGGCACATTTTCATTACTCTTCTTTGTCTCGAAAAAACTTCTAGTCTTAATCGGGTACAAAATTATGAAGAGTTCATCAATGCGTAATGACTATTCCGGGAATAATCAATTTTTGGTCTATACTTTATAGGTGGTTCGCCGTATCCGCTATTAAATAACATCGATGTCATGAGACGTCTAAAGACAGAATACCGCATGGAAAAGCCCGACTTGTGTCCTGATGACCTGTAAGTTTTTTTAAAAAAATGTTGACTAGCGACGGAAAAAAGGATTTTTTTCCCTTTATCTTTCTTGTTGGTAGTTCACTGACAACTCCATTATAACAAATAGATTATACGTAGACTGGACTATATAATGATTTAGTAAAATCCAACTAAAGGTCTATTATCAATGCTGCGTTCTGATTGGTTGAGCTACTACTGGGCTATATGTTATAGCCCACCAGTAGCGAAAAGCGTTGGCTTTGAAAACCAAAACAATGGCGGCTGAATTGCGTTTTGCTAGCTAATTATTTTTTATTCTCGATATTTTTGACCAACTAGTTGGATTTTGCTAAAAAAATTATTCCTCTTGCCTTCATGGCCTCTGAGTCAATAGCCCATTTGGCCTTCGGCCTCATAGGCTATTGACTCAGAGCCTATTCGGGCTCTAGGAATAACTGTTAAATATTTTTTCGAGATCGCAAATGGAAGTCTCGTGACAATGAAGTCGATTGGGAGTACCTCCAGGCTGCAGTGCGCGCAGTGTGCGACGCTTCACAAAAAAATTATTCCAGCAACTCTTAGACAACTTAAATTTCTCAGTAATTAGGGTATAACATAAGCGTCGACTGAAGACTGGATGTTTAATACGTAAAAAAAGTTACTTCTTGGATGTTTCCGAAAGGCTTTTTAACTCTCCGTATTCACAATTATCCCCCACACATGCTCCACGGTTGAACTTGCGTGATTTGAAAAAATGAAAATATACATGCAGAATATATATATGGGTTAAACGTAAAGCATGAGCTCGTGGGTTGGTGTATGCGTGCCCCTTGCTTTGATTTACTGGTAATTCGTGATCCACCTTCCCCTCGCATGTCGTGGTGGAACTGCTGTGCGGTTCCCAGCCAACAGCTCCCACTTGTGTCGTGTAGAGCTGGCGCTTGATAGACTGCTTTGCACTCACCTCCTCAGTAAGGAGTTTTGAGACACAGGTTTTCCCCGTTCACTAACCCAACGGCTGTGCCACGCAGGTGGGACCCAATACGGGCGAAAAAGCTGTCTGGGGTTGCCACTGCCCCTGAAATCTTTGCTTGTTGGCACTTAGCGATAGCTATAACTAGCAATAATGATAATAAAAAATGTAATTGTCACCGTTCCTTTATAAAACAATGTCTCTCACAGTCCTTGGTCAAGCCTGTTGGGCTCTACTACTTGTCTGTCTCTCCGGGTCACATATGGGGTTCCACTGCTCTCTTTGGGAAGCTGGGAGTGCTGCTCTTGTGATGGTGGATCTGGCAGCACTGCAGGAGGTGCAGCTTGATTAGACTCTTCCTTGGCAACCGTCAGGTTTGCTCTGTTCTCTAATGACAGTTCAGGATTTATCTCTTGTTCCGGGGCGGGACAAACTCGTAGATACTGTCTGTTACGGCGGTAGTTTCTTCCGTCTTCAGTTTGCACTACATAAGATCTTGGGGTGTGGTGTTGTCTTAAAACTGTTGCTGCTCTCCATAGCTTGCTATCCGTCTCAGGCTGCATTCTCACGTTAGTACCCTGTTTAAGTTTCTGCATACTCTTGCTGGCATGGCGGTCATCGTTCCTTTTCTTTTGTTCTTTAGTCTTCTTCAGGTGTTTGGAGATTTCATTCTGATTGTTGCTGGTTGGAGTAAGCAAACTTTCCATCATAGGCAGCTCATTTTTCAGTAGGCGTCCCATAAGTAGTTGCGCTGGTGACAGCCCGATGTCTGGCAATGGTGATGTTCGATAATCCAGCAGGGCTAGGTACTTTTCATCATTATTTCGGTACAGGTTCCTTACTGTTTGAATCGTTCTTTCAGCTTCGACATTGGCTTCTGGATAATGCAGTAAGCTGGTTGTGCGCTTGAACCCCTAATCCTTTACGAACTCTTTAAATTCACTGCTAGTGAACTGGGGGCCATCATCTTAGACTACTTCAGGTGGGATACCATGGGCTCCAAACTGCCTCTTCAGCTCTTCTACCACAGCGCCACTTCTTAAGGATTTCAGCTTAGTGACTTCCGGGAAATTGTTACGGTAGCACCCAGAGAGTAAATAATGTTCTCCGCGAAATTCAAACAAATCTGTTTCGATCTTCTTCCACGGAAGTGATGGTGGAATAGTAGGTTTCAGAGGCTCTCAGGGCTGCTTATTAGCGTAGTGTTCGCACACACCATAATTGGTCACCATCTGCTCAATGTCCACTGACCGACATTCCAGGCCAAAATAGCATATCCCGGCCTCTCTGTCTGCACTTGACTTTCCTAGATGCCTCTTGTGAATCTGACGAAACATTTCAGCTCTCATGCTTTTTGGGACTATCAGGCGAGTTTCTTTGAAGAGAAGTCCATCTACTGCTGCAACTTTATCTCGAAATGACCAGTGGGGTCTTGCTTCGGTAGGAACTTGCTGCTTAGTATCTGGTCACCTATTCGTCACCATGGTACGAACTGCCTGCAACTCAGCATCCAGTTTGCTTTCTTTTTTGAATTCTTCATATCGCTCCTCCGAGACAGATAGGACCAGGTTTATTTCTTGAAAGGCCTCCTATCCTTCCTTCTCAGCACTTGGTACAGCTGCTCTGCTTAGGGTGTCTGCTACAATTTGTTTATTCCAAGGAATGTATCGGACTTCGACGTCATAGCCACGCAGATTGAGGATCATCTTCTGAAGTCTCAATGGAAGTTGTGACAAGGGTTTTGTGCTTTTGCCTGCAAGGACTTGTGGTCTGTTTCAACAACTGTACTTCTGCTATATATGTACTGGTGGAACTTGCGACAAGCAAGCACAACGGCTAGCATCTCGGCTTCGATGGAAAGCATAACATACAGGCTTACTGTCTTGCAAGAGCACAGCCCCGAGCCCCTTGACACTTGCATCGCACTGAATTACTACCGGTTTGGTTTGGTTTTACTGAAGCATAGGTGCTTGCGATACGAGTTGCTTAATCTTCATGAAGCTGTCTTTCTGCGGAAGGTCCCAATGAAACAACACATTTGACTTACCTAGTTCTTGCAGTGGAGCGACTTCACTTCACAGGCTTGGCAGGTACGGGATCAAGAACTGCACAAATCCAAGGACTCGTTTTGCATCTCCTTTGCTCTCTGGTTTCGGCATCTCTTGAATTGCTTTTACCTCGTGGGGTCAATCTTAAGGCCATCAGCTGTCAGGAGATGTCCCACGTATAGAACTTGTGTCTGACGGATCTTGCATTTCTCTGTGCTAAGCTTTAAGCCTTGCTTTGATGCTCTGTAGACCTTTGCTGACATAACATTGGGTTTCGCACCACTATCCAGCTGAAATCGTATCTGAGAATCTTTTATTTCGGCGGTTACATAGAACTCCTCATCTTCCTTCACATGCTTGATTTCAATGAGTAAACAAAGAGGGTAATTCTTACTCACTTTCTTCTTCTTCTGGATCAGAGTCCTCTACTTCTTCAAGATTGTGGAATTCTTTTGATCTGCAGGACTTTGTATCTTCTTACAGAGTCCGCACTTTTGTCCCATTGCTGGTCATTTTTTATGGGTCTTATCATAACCACATCTACCACATTTATCTTGCTAGTCTCAGGTTTCTTCTCTTTACTTTTAATTCGTGGACGCATTTGTTTTGCATGTTTCTTCTTTTCTATGGTATTCACAGTTGGCTTCACCCTTCGATAGTTTTTTCAGGCTGTTTAAATTCATTTCGTGGTTTCGACCAATTTCAACCGCTTTTTCAAACGTCAATTCTTTGGCCAAATCGAGATACTTTTCAGGAACTTTTGTGGACTTACGGCGGAAAAAGATCGCATCACGAACCATACGCTCCTCTTCTTGATAGTCACAATCTTTGACGAAAATGTTCAGATCTTTCGCAAAGGATTCAAAACTCTCGCTCTCTCCTTGGTGTCTTTCATTGAATTCCAAGGCAACCATAATGTGCTTTTTTTCTAAGCGCGCAGTACTCTTCAAACTTCTGCAGCACTACCTTCAGTTTCAAATCGTCTTCGGGCTTTGCGAATGCGAATCCTTCGAATAAATCTAATCCTTTGTCACCTACCCACAACCTTAAGTAGCTTACTTTCACGCCGTCTTCTTTGTCGTGCAGCGGACCATCGAAGATACAAGAGGCTTGTTGGCAAAAACGAGCCATTGTTGGTGTAAGTCTTGTCATCTCCGGACTCTTGTATTTCGCTATTGTCGTCGAATTTCCACGCACTACACACGAAAACATAATTGATGGGAATACCCCGTCCTTTTTCGGGGAAATGTCAGCTCGATGGCTGAATTGGGCGAGGATTTTCTAGTTCTCTCTGACAGCATGTAAGATAATAAACTAGTCAAGATGGCCGACAGTGAAAGCATGTGTATTCCCAAAGTCAGTCACGTGACATATAACAAATGACTTGCTTGGGAGGGGAAAGTCTTTCACGCAATACATTTATAATATCATATAATCCATGTAATATAACAGATTTCGATTAAGTTCAATCTGTTTAGGTATCCGTCTTTAAAACGGTTAAAAAATGTTAGGCGTGTAAGCAAAAATTACCTGTCAGATAGAAAGGACACCTAAAGTTGTTTTTCTTTAATGATCTTGTTTAAACGCCGACCACTTACTTAGTGGTGGTCCAGTTCAACGATGCTGAAGGAAGAGTTGTATAGATAAGTAGCTGCTCCGATAGCTGTATAGCTATTTAAAGTCTTTTACCTTATTATAATTTAGATATGGATCGATTTGTCTTTTAATTTGCCGGGAAATGAGATTATTTTATACGTAATTATGACGAACTAAAAAGCTAATGAGGAATATCTGAGGCTTTATAATACAGCTAAGCTTCCCCAACTAATGATAATTTGTAATTTAACGTATAAACTTAAAAAAACGTTTATGATGTGAAAGCCTCATGGATTCTTTACGGATATCAAAAGACAGCATCGACGATTAAAACTAGACTGATTTTGTCCCTATACTTTCTAGTTATTCCTTGATGAAAGACTGCTGGAAACAGAACCCTTATGAGCGACCGAGTTTTCCAGAATTGGTGGAAAGATTAGAACAACTGATGCTTCAGGAGGTGGAATATTTAGATTTTAACTTGTTGGACGAGACTAAAGATTACTATCAGGTGACAGAGTCAAGTACGGGAGAAATTGACGACGAGGAGATGTCTATTGCATAGTACTCCCCCAAACATGAATACATGAAATAGATCAGCTGGTCAGTGTACATGTAATGGTAATGATAATGGTAATGATAATGATAATGATAATGACAGTGATAATGATGATGATAATAGTATAGTAGTATAGTATATCTTACCATAAAGGTTTTCATAACTACTACAAATTATTTAAAATATGAACAGAAACAACAAAATTATACGGCATATACCAATTCGATAATAATTATACTATAATTTAATTAACTAATCAATTGGATTTTTGATTCAGGATCTGTTTTCGTTTTTGAAACTTTAGATGGGGATATTTGGCTATAACTTGTGACGTATTGTTATTGTCTAATCTGAGTAAATAATGATAACAATAATAATAATGAAGGTCTTTATTAATAATTCATTGCGTAAACATACTTGCAGCAATTTACATGGCAATAAAATGAATAAAGGAAAGCGAAAAAATACATAAGGAAAACGACCAAAAAATATTCGTTACTATCAAAGAGACATCTATTAATAAAAACTGATTTAAAATGACTTGTGCGGACGTTAGGTAGCATATAATTACGCGACCTAGTTCTTATCTGCCGTCTTCTCTGGGAAGGTAAAAGATCGCTCAACGCAGTGTTGGTGGAAGAGATCCTTCGCCATTACTTCATATCTCTTTTACGACAAATGTCCAAGATACTGTGCTGCTTTAAGTAGTAACCTAACTTATAACACCTGGCAAAGAGCTTATCAATTCTACGTAAATATTTACTATAAAAAGCGCACCCCCAGTCCTCAATAGCGTATGTGAAGGCTGAAAGGATCAAACTTTGAAAAAGTAAGTGCAAATTCTCAATAGAGTAGCCGTAATATTTACACATTCTTATAATATACAACCTACTGCTAGCCTTACTAAGTAAATAATGAATATGAGTGTCCCAATTAACTGGCACTTGCTCAAAGGTAACGCCCAACAATTTCAGTTTCTCTTTCCTCCCTATGATCTCGAGTGGTTCAGGGGGCGTCCTGGTAGTCTTCCCTCGCAATAGCAGTTCCCATGTTTTTGTCAAATTAACTTTCATGCAATTGTTCTCGGACCATTTAACAAAGGATAGGACTTCCGTTTCAGACTCATCTAAGCCTACATTTGCCTCAATCGGCAAGCTAACAGTTATGTCGTCTGCAAATTTAACTAGAAGATTCTTATTAGTATTAACAGCTTTGATATCGTTAATAAAAATAGAAAAGAGGACCGGCCCCAGGACTGTACCTTGAGCAACACCCCTATTTATAGAAACATATTTAGTACGGTAACCGTCGACAACAACTCTCTGCTTTCTCTGATGTAAAAAGCTAATAAGCCAATTATTAATATATGGATTAATGTTAACTTGCTTCAATTTACTACAGAGGATATTGTGTGATACAGAGTCGAAGGCCTTACTAAAGTCAAAGGAAAACATTTTGACAAAATCGGCATTACCATCAAGCCACTTTAACCATGCATGTTGGCATTTAATTAATGGCATAGTAGAGTTATGACCTTCACGATAGGCAAACTGATCTAAATCGACATAATCGTTGCAAGTACTGGAAAGTTCAAAGCTATAGCGTTCTATCATGAACTGTTAAATTGATGAAGTTTGCATAGTTTTCAGAAATACGAAAATAAAGTTTCTGTCTAAGACTATCGTATTCAGTACAATCAATTAAGAATCGAAGTGTTTCTCGTATTCCGTGCCGTTTCTTTTGCAAACTAAACAAAGCCTATCCTCTACTGGTATAGACGCTCCTTTATTTTCATATTTCCCTGTTTGTATACGTAAAGCTGGATTTCTAACTGTCTTTAGGTATTCTTCTAAGTGATAATCTTCTTTAATTTCCTTGTTTGTATATTTTTGTCTAGAGCTATCCGAAATGTCGTTTTGAGCTTTTAACCAATCTTGAGAAAATTTGATCCGCATTTGTATAAATAAGCCATAAAATAAACCATAAAACTTACTGTGATTTCTTGCCTAAATAAAAGCTTCATTAAAAAAGGGTTGTCTGATTTTTGTTCTAATCTTTGCCAGTAACATAAAAAGGAAGCCTTTATGTCTATAGAGGGTGTCCGCCAAATTCTGCTCTACAGGCTTTGTTTTCTGTGTACCATGGGACATTTAATGTTTGTTTACAGAATTTAATGTGAACTTGCTCAATTGTACTTTTATCAAAATGTGTCTTATAAGATAGTAGTTCTGGTCGCCATTTTTCACAACCATAAAGTAGTACAGGTTTAACTAGGGCATCGAAAAGTTCATTCCTTGTCTCGACCACTGAATAATCAATGTTTGAGAGTAATCGTTTAATTGTGAAGACAATTTTGGTAGCCTTTTTACTTAGAATTTGCCTTGCATAGGCGCAACGACCAGATGATGTCATTTCGATTCCTAGGTATGTTTGTTTGTTAACAATTTCTATTTGCGTATTTGAAATTTGTTTTCTTTTTGTTTTGTCCATTACCGCTAAATATGATGATATTAGATTATTATTAGATGACAATGACAATGATAATGATAACGACAATGACGATGATCGTTTCCCAAAAATTCAGTTCCCTTTTTTGAAGTCTTAAAATAATACTAAGTACTGCGAAAATCTTTCCCAAACTATATCTCTTGGTAGTTTTAGGGAGGAGAAAGCTATAAAGCGCATTCTCAGATCTTTTGCCAGAATGGCAATTAATTCTGGACGTTTTTCCGCAAAAGCGTTCCTCGTAAGAGGAACGGCCATGGAAAGGCACGCCCGATCCTATATAACTGTATGAAGAGTGTGATCTTGTTTCAGGATACCTACGTGAGTTTGTCTCCGGCACATCCGTTATATCCGTTGAATTTATGCAATCGTGTAGATCAGATCAATTTAAGGGGGAAATTAATTGAACACAGACTCAAAGTGGAAAGATCCCATGCTAAACGAAAACAGCCAAAGAAATATTAATTTGAACAAGCTCCAAATACTGTTCCCCACTGTTTCCCTTGTATGCGCCACACTAAACGAATAGTTAGATATTCCGTCAGATCTTAGTAGTACAAAGAATCTTAAGTATAATAGGGATAGCGGACACAACGGGGACAGAACTTACGGTATAACAGATCTGCTTCAAGGAATACATAAAATATCTAAAGTAAAGGATCTCATTGAAAATCCACATACAGTCGACTTCCGATAACTCGAACCCTCACTAACTCGAACCAAAACGATTTCCCTGGATTTCCGTCATACATTCACTGTAATTTTACCCTCGGTAACTGGAACCCTCGATAACTCGAACTCCCGCTAACTCGAACCAATTTTCGTTTCCCCTCAGGTCATTTTCTATATAATTTTACCCTCGATAACTCGAACCATGTTTTGAGCCCTTAAAAAGTCGGGAAAAAAGCCGTCTAGGGGCGTCTGAAACATTGAATTTTGGATTTCCCATTGATCATGACGTGTTGTGGGATTATAGTTTATTAGTGGAGGCTGATATTGATTGTCACAGGCTAACATGAAGCAGTAGTTTCTTCTCACACCAGTAAAACGCATGCTCTATTTAGGCTATGGTTTGTTACGTTACGTCCTGATTTATAATCTAGAAGTATCTTTTAATTTTCACTGGACATTTCTACAATAAAATGTGATTAAAATGTTCACTGTGCAGTAAAAACTGTTTTTTACCTTACTCTCGGCTATTTTCTTCGAGCTCCCGATAACTCGAACTCCCGATTTCCCTTGAAGGTTCGAGTTATCTGCAGTCGACTGTATTCCAAAAAACCATTGTTGAAGACAACAACAACAATAATAACAAAATCAACAATCTCAAAAAACTGTAAAGTACTGGAAGAAAAATTCCCAGCATGCACTGTATAAAAATGAAAAGGTATTCGACAACAGAGCAGCATTTAAGAAAGCCATTAATATCCATGTAATATCCATTGCAAAAAAAAACAAAACAAAACAAAACAAATAACAAATAACCAAACACTAACGTAAAGAATATAATATTCAAAATATGTCATTCCGACATTCATGAAGCTAACTACAATACCTATAAAAAAAAATTACTAAATATGGTTATTCTTCAATACACAATGTGTATTGAATTCTTACGGAAGTCAAGTGCAGCCAAATCCCTATTAAGTAGTCAACCTCCTCTGTTTGGCGGTCACCTGCGAAAGTCGCTAATTCCCGAGGGTGACATCTTAGTAGAAGTTTGACTGTACATTGTAATTAAAAAATAGAACCAATCGAAAAACACACGCATCACAGCCAACTCTCGAATACGACGACCAGGACCACCAGAGGGGTAATGTGATCGACTTAAATAACTGAGTCGACATTGTTAGCATTCTGCTCGATTTTTTAAGAACAAACCTGAATGTGAAGGTAATTTTTTATTTCTTTGCTACTGTATTATTACGCTTCGCGTTTGGGTACAAAAATCTTGCACCATTTTCTCGATGAATCGAACATAAAACCTCAAAACTTATCGCAATTTCTCATATGAGTTTTGCCACGCTATTGCCTTGATAAATATATGTAATATAAATACTAAGCTTTCCTCTCCTCTTTCGGGTAGGGAGATAATGAAACAACTGATTCAAAAAAAATAAAAAAAATAAAAACTTTCAAGGGTATTCCTTGGCTATAAGGAGATGTCACGATGGCGACGGCAACAAGAACGTCAAAAAAGCAATGCCGCGTGTTTCAGACTTTTTCATATACTGTACTTCTTTGCCGCCACTGCACGACCACAACGTGAAATTACCTAATTTGGTCTAATTTTACGTTTTCTGCAGGACGCAAACAAGTGAAGATGAATTTTTTTCTCGCTCTGAAGTTGGATACTGTTCTTAGGAATTCAAATCCCGGAGAGTTCGTCTACAATTGTCAAAGTGAGAAGGCTAGGATAAACGGAATGAAGTTTGAAAGAACGCGAATTCGGTAATATTTTTAAGTGAAGCTTTCACCGCCGTTGCCGTCGTGCTATCTTAACCTCCATCAGTACCAGAGACTTTCAGGGTCTGTTTA